GGCTACAGCAATGGGACTTGCTGGGGGGGGACAGAGTCATGTCAGCGACCCAAAGGAGGAATGGGTTTCATACAGAGACGGTAACAATTATGCGGGTGCGCTAATCGCCTGCCATCAGTGCTTAGCTTATGCCCAGGTTCTTAGCCCTGAGTTTGCATGAAGACCTGCTACCCTCAGGGAGCAGATGGATTTCCTGCACCTGAGAGAAACTGAACAGCAAATTCCTGCACCTCTGGGCCTGGCAGCTCAGAGCCCGGCACCTCTTTCATTACAAACTGAGCACCTCTTCCTCACCACTTCGTATGAGGTGAGTGGCGATGCCCCTGCAAACTGCCAGCTGTGCAAACCCTCTGGGAGATTCCGGCCCATTCCCCAGGTGGTGTGAAGGCAGCAGTGAGCTCCTACAAAAGGAATTTTTCTCACGAGGTGGCCGACTCACCAACAGGAGGCAACTGTCCGGGGACCCAGCAATTCTAAAGGGCCCATGGCAGGGACAGTGGCTGGAGACAGGCGATGCCCCTGCAAACTGCCAGCTGTGCAAACCCTCTGGGAGATTCCGGCCCATTCCCCAGGTGGTGTGAAGGCAGCAGTGAGCTCCTACAAAAGGAATTTTTCTCACGAGGTGGCCGACTCACCAACAGGAGGCAACTGTCCGGGGACCCAGCAATTCTAAAGGGCCCATGGCAGGGACAGTGGCTGGAGACAGGGTCTCGCTCAATTACTGCCAGAGCCCCATGCCGTATGCTCCAGAGTGTCAGATGCTGGCTGCAGGCAGCAGCGAAGGCGTAGCGCAGGAAGGCTAGCCCTTGCCCCTGCCCCTCCCCTTCTGTGCACCCTGCCCGGCCCTTCCCCCTCCCTGGCCCGTGGGCCTGGCACTTTGTTGGTCCTTCTGCTGTGTGGTTCTGGCGCCTGGGGCAGGGACTCTAGTTTTGCTCACTGCAGTCGAATGCGGGCGGGCATAACGCCATCAGCTGCAGGTCAGTCATATCAGTGGCAGCGAGCAGACTCAGGCCCCAGGCTTCCAGATGGAATTCCTGGGGAGCTTCTGTGTTCCCCGCACGGACACTTGGCTCACTAGAGACTCGTACTGAACACACAGGGCAGCGCTGAAAAGTCAGCTTTCCTGCCGGCGGGGCTCTGCCTTTGTTGCGGGGTGCTTGGCAGCATGAGTTTCAGGGTTATGTCCACTGTCCCATCACCTTGGCACCACACGCTGAACATTGGGAGCTGCCAGGCTACATGTTACCCACTTGCAGTGGTTACTGTGCTGATTAGCTAGAAGAAGTGGGGTTTTCTTTTAAAGTAATCAGCTCTAAGTTTGCATGCACTGCCCTTCTGGCAATGCAGGCTGTACAGTGGCATTACAGCCGACAGCTGTTGGCTGGTACTTTGCAGCTGGTACTCTGGCGACAGAGGCATGTAGTCTAGACGTACCCTCAGTCTGACTTAATTAGCCCTGATGATGTCTCTTTCTTTCTTTCTTTCTTTCTTTCTTTCTTTCTTTCTTTCTTTCTTTCTTTCTTTCTTTCTTTCTTTCTTTCTTTCTTTCTTTCTTTCTCTCCTCTCCTCTCCTCTCCTCTCCTCTCCTCTCCTCTCCTCTATAGACGTGAGTTGTAGTACCACATGAAAGCTTACGCCCTAACATCCTAATACATTTGTAAGTCTTTAAAGTGCCACTAGATTCCTTGTTTGTCTCTTTCCACGGTGGTTCTGTAGCCTATAGCAGTGTGACTCAATGGCACTATTCCAGGTTTACACCCATGTAACTGAGTTCAGAATCTGGATCCTGGCTTTCTTTTGCATCCTGACATAGAAAGCACTGGAAAGTCCTAGCTAAATGCTTCTGTCTCCCCCTGGCCTAACACATGGGATACCACAGCCATCTCTACCATACGTGCAAGGGTTAAATGTGCTCTCCAGGCCATGTTCAAAGCATCACATCCACAGATTTCTGTTTCTGCAGTAAGTAATGATGTTATCTGGATCCTGGCTTTCTTTTGCATCCTGACATAGAAAGCACTGGAAAGTCCTAGCTAAATGCTTCTGTCTCCCCCTGGCCTAACACATGGGATACCACAGCCATCTCTACCATACGTGCAAGGGTTAAATGTGCTCTCCAGGCCATGTTCAAAGCATCACATCCACAGATTTCTGTTTCTGCAGTAAGTAATGACGTTGATGGCAGCCGCCATTGACTGTTTGTTTGAAAGGCCCCGTTATGTATTGCACACACAGCCAGCCGACCTCAGCAGTTTTTGCACTTCTAACTGTGGGGTGGGGACGTCAGCTTTCTACAGGGATAGTCACTGGCTCCAAAAATTCTGAAGCAGGGCCGGTTGTTGCATTGTTTGAAAGCGAGGGTCTGGGGCCTGGCCTGTGTTTGGCTGATGCATGCAACCTCTAAATCTCCTGGCCAACACACCCAACAAAGCTGGCTGCTCTGAATGCGAAAGCTAATGAAATAATTCCACGGCCGGGGGTTTAGCGAGACAATGGCTGCTGGGAAGCAGCTGACCTTGGTTTTCATGGAGCTTTTGTCCAGCATTCTTGCTTTGTTTCATGTTTTGACTGGTTTGTAAATAGTTTTGGCACCATTCTGCCGAGGGGCGGTATAAATTCTCCTGCTCGGCCCCAGGCCCATCACTGGCTCACGCAGACGCTCGTAGGACTGGTAAGAATTTTCTATTTATTGCCCTTTTTACAAATGATGTTGCCACTGCAAGCCAAAGCCGCAGGGTCTGAAGACTGATTGACCCTCTATAGCATTAATGCAGCAAAGAGGTGCCCAGCAATGTATGTGGGTACATATATCCAATAGGCAAATAAGAGGATACCAATGTTTCAGTAGCACATGGTGACAGGGAGTTCACAACCGCTTGGGAGCATGACCTGAGTTTCATTGCAGTTTAACAGGTGATTTCACTTAACCTCCAGCCTACTCAAAAATGACAGCATTGAAACTCCCCTCCCCTACCATATTTGACTATAACTGGGCACGAGTTCCTTCAGGGGAAACTGTACTGAGTTGGATAGACCAGGCACTTGGTCGCCCCTTCTTGCACAGTGATGCACCCGCTTGGGAGCATGACCTGAGTTTCATTGCAGTTTAACAGGTGATTTCACTTAACCTCCAGCCTACTCAAAAATGACAGCATTGAAACTCCCCTCCCCTACCATATTTGACTATAACTGGGCACGAGTTCCTTCAGGGGAAACTGTACTGAGTTGGATAGACCAGGCACTTGGTCGCCCCTTCTTGCACAGTGATGCACCCCACACGATCTGCAGCTGGTCTGTTGGCGCCAACTGAAGATGCAGGGATTTGTCTGCCGGTCTAATTGGATCACTCTGGGGTTTAAATTGCTGCGGGGCAGAGTTGAAGACAGTTTAATAAACTTGAACTGCCTTAGCCAAGCCCTAAATTTTCAGGGAAACTCCATGAGGCTCACCCTGCCTATGCTATTGTTAATATTGTATGGGCCAAAACTCAGAGGGCCTCAGGAAGGCTTTCCTCAGGCCAAGAGAAGGCCTTTTTCCCTTTATTTCACTGCAAGTCTCTGCATAAGGGCAGCACAGCATCTGAAGGGAGCAAAGCTCCCAACTGAAACCCATGGAGACTTTGTAATGTTTATTGTAATGCCAGAGACTCGTGTCTGAAGAATGCAGGACTCTGGCTGAGGTGGTAGGAAGGAGGGAGAGTCCTACAGGACTGCCCTTGAGACTCTAAGGCAGGATTGCTTAGCACACTTGCTGTTGTCGGGCAAGCACTAATTATGTTTCTAGAGAACAAGTGAGGCGAAAGGCAGCCACTCCTTAGCATCCAGGGAGCTGCGGTTTGTAGTTCTTTGCTCCCGCTATGATCCCTTTGCAGCTGGTTTGTGTGGTCTCTCTTCCCCTTTGAGATGGATCATTGAGCACTGTGCAAACCCAAAGACTTTACTGCAAATTTCAGCACCAGGGAATTCTTTCCCTCACGGGGATACAGTTCAGAGGAGGGAAGGAGACCTCTCCCCACCACTGGCCCTGCCCTGCCCAGATCTAAGGGCAATGGTGCTTAGAAACCCCCATGTTGGTAGCTCTGGCCACTACACGCCCGAGGAACGGCCACTCGAGGGAAGGGGAGAGATTAGTGGTGGGGCACTGGGCTGGTTGCGGTGAGCGGATACCAGAGGGGTGGGTTTGTGTGTATGAACCTAAACAAAATTCCGGTTTAACTGTGTGGGTTTCCCTCCCAAAGAACTCGGTCCTCAGTTTCACAATGTCGTCAGACCACCAGCTGCCAGCCTCCAAGCAACAGCAAACCAGCCCGAAGGTCAGTGTGTACTTCTCTGCACGGCAGTGCAGTGGCTGGGTTTGCCCAGCAACAGGGTCCCAAGAAGCTGACATGCATGGAGGCATTCTGGATGTGTGTGTATCCACTGCCCCACTTCAGTGCAGCCAAGAGCTGCTCTCCTCCTGGGAAGCAGGAGACAGGAATATGAACAGCTGAGCTGCTGAGAACCCCTCTCCTTAATCAGCAGCTCTTTGCTCTAAACCCCACTCTGCTTTTCATTCAGTAGCTCGGACTGTTGGAGCCTAGGCAGTTGTCTTGAAGTACCGGTGCCAGTCCCAAAGCAGCTGCTTAGTGTGCATGGCAGCACCAAATGCCATCACGCCCGCCCCATCCCAAGACTCACCTCCAGGTGCAGGGATGCAGGGGTTGTGGAACAAAAGGAAGAGGCTTCCCCAAACCAGCAGCTCTTCAGGCCTCCCGGGTGTGGATGGGGCCTCATAGGAAAGCCGGAGAGCAAGTGGCATATTTAACAGCCATTCATCAGGGGGGCCCACAAGGGACACTAGATAAATCCTGCCAATTGCCCTAGAATCAGCCAAAGCTGCAGCCTGGTCAGCAGCAGTGCTGTGCAAAAAGTCTTCCCTGAATTCCCGCCCATGGGTAATGCAATGAGGCAGCAGCCCAGCATTCGCTCTCAAGTCGCTGGGCCGCTTGAAGGCCAGACATTTCCTTTGGCCTCAGCCCTGATGCACTGGACATGTCAGCCCCAGGAGAAACACTAGCAAGGGGCATTTGGGGCGGTGGCTTCAGAACTATTCAGTGTCGTTAAGTCTTGTGATTTTTATTGCAAGTCTCCCAGCAGTAATTGGTGTTGATCTTTAAGGCCCCAGTTCCTGGATCCTAGGGTCCCACCTGGCAGGAGCCTAGAGACCGGGTGCCTACCTGAGACAAATGTCTTTGCACCCATTATACAGGTCCTTAGCCCGAGTCAGCTGGCACTGGCTAGCTACCAGTACCACTGCAGAGTGGCCAGACCATGCTGGATGTGGGTGGGGGAAAACCCTCACCACACATCACCCTCGTACTGGGACCACCTTTGGGAATTCTGACTTCAAGGTGACAATCCTTTTCAAGTTGGGGATGCCTTCCTCACATGGAGGGCGGCTAGGAAGTCTGCTAGTTTGACGTCAGTGGTGCTGGCTCAGCTCAGCACTCCTCCTGTTTTGTGTGCAGGGACAACAGATTTTCCTCTCTCTGCTCCACTGCTCCACAAACCCGCCAGAATCTGGCTTGCTGGATGATGTATTAATACCTAACTACTGTCCCAAGGCCTGTTTGTTTACCTGGGGCTCAAATTGCAAATGGAAGAAAAGGTCGCTACACTTGGAGTGACCGAGATCTGGGACTGGAAAGCAAATTGCTGAGGCAGCTGGGCCAAGTGTCAAAACCCTACCATGGTCGATAATGTCCTTGTGAAATGCCGGCGTGGCACCTGGGTGCGGGGAGAACATGGCTGAGTGGGGAATTCAGAGAAGAGCTACAAATGACTGAGGTCCCTGGTTAAATTGGCTCAGTGGATGGCCCAAATTTTATAGTTTGGGGGTAAATAATAACCAAGGAGACACAAAACACTCGGCAGGGCGTGGAGACTTTCTCTGGTGGAACGACACTCAATACATTCTGAGACAAATAATTAAGACCAAAGAGAGAGTTCTTTGGGGTAGTTTGTAACTCAGAGAAATAGAAGAAACCAAAGCTGAGGGTGGGTAGCCAGAGGCCTTGCCCAGGGCCATGCCAGGAGTCACTTAGGACTTCTAAAGCCACCTGAGCAAAACACCTGAAGATGCCAGAAAGAATGGCTGAGGGACGAGGGCTGAATATGGACTGGTGTTAATAGAGCTTTTCCAGTTCTACACTCCACCATTCTGGGACTGTCAGAGTCTCTCCCCCTTGAGTCAGTCTACCTGGACTACGAGAACCCACAAGAGGACATATGGTAGGGAACAGCCCTGCCCTGACCCCTCAATACATGGGAAGGATGCACTACAGGGCTTCAACCCCCTTGTCTAAGCTGCTGTTCTTCTTGCCTGTTAGATCGTTGTCTTTGAGCAAGAAAATTTCCAAGGTCGCTGCCATGAACTTAATGCTGCTTGTTCCAATTTGAAGGAAGCTGGAATGGAGAAAATTGGCTCCATCCTAGTACACTCTGGACCGTATGTATCTTGCACGTGGGCTGCTGGGGATGAAAGCCCGGGGCTGAGCCTGGGTCCACTGGTGTGTCTGGCAGGGGAGGCTGGGATAGTGACTTAGAAACAACCATTGGGTGTAAAAAAAGATCAAATGAAGAAGTAAGTTACTGACTGGACGATGGCTACTCCCATGTATCCCATGCCTGGAGAGGCCCTAGCAGCTGAGCCATGGGGTAGAGTTATGGAAAGAGACTCCTTGAACCCCTCCCAGGCTGAAAGTCATTGGGCCAGACTCAGCCCTCATTCATGCCCATGTGAATGCATTCACCTCTGTGGCCTCACACTGGTTTTACAGCCAGGTACCTAAGAGCAGGATTTAGGTACAGCAGAGCTGGGTGCGTATGTCCAGGGCAAGTAGCTAGATACACTAGTGTCACTCCTGGTAGTGTTCAAGAAGCAACAGTATGTCACGAGCAACACAGAGGCTGCCCAGGCTGGGTGTTGGTATGCATACTAGCTGCTAACCCAAGGAGCTGCCCTGTGCTGCTGTGGCCTTGCTGGTTTTGGGGTAGCTGGTATGTGTCTGGCTAGTCATGCTGGGATGTACCCGCTGGCTGTGCAGCACTGGGGATCCCTGGGACAGATTGCAGGGAGTCCTACAACACTGGAAGGCCACTCAGTAAGGGTATGTCTACACTACCCCGCTAGTTCGAACTAGGAGGGTAATGTAGGCATACCGCACTTGCAAATGAAGCCCGGGATTTGAATTTCCCGGGCTTCATTTGCATAAGCGGGGAGCCGCCATTTTTAAATGCCGGCTTGTTCGAACCCCGTGCCGCGCGGCTACACGCGGCACGGGCTAG